CTCACTCTCTCCTCCTCCCCCTTCCACGCCACTTTCTTTTTTTTTCATTTCTTATAAAATATTTAATCTCCATAATTACAAATCTTACATTTCTCAAATTAATTTTCTTTTTCTAATAAACTCTCTATCTCAAAATTTAGAATATAAAGTGTTAGAATATGGAGTGTTTTGTCTCTTTATTTCTATGTTAAAAAGTTATAACTTATTTTGAATTATGATTAATAAAGAATTTCAAAAATTTCGTAACTTTTTATTTTCTACAACTATATATAGAGTTTTTTCTTACTCTTTCTCCCAATTTTTTCTTCATCAAAACTTGAGTTTCTTTTCTCTTTCGGTATGTAAATTTTCTTCTTTAGTCAATGTCTTGTGTTTTTTTATATTTAGTTAGATTGTTTGATTGAATATTCAACTTTTTTAGTTATTTTTTTTCCAAACGACTCAATCAACTGAAAAAAGGAAAGTGAAAATGAGTGATAAGATCGAATCACATTGGACGGATCCACTTTGAGATGGTACTTGATAACTGCGAGAACTCTCTCAATGACCTCCTCCTTGGAAAGGTGATCATCGTGTGATGAAAATGAAAATAGCCGGAGCAATCCATCGGAACATGGCTACGGTTGGCATTCCCCGCGAGCTATGACAAAGAATTGGACCGGAACTCGAACATGGTAAAGAACGGCTGCCCTCAACGCATCTCTATCTCTCGCTATTTTTTTTTTGTCATTTTATTTTTCAATGACTCAAATAAGAAATTGAAACAAAGTTGTATTTACTTTTATGTATTCTTATGTTCAGGGAAAAAAAGATGAAAAATCCATGAATGTGTTTTTTTTAGAAAAAAAATTTACGTAATTGAAGAATAATATTTTTAGTTACACTAACCTCATTAGTGTGTGATGAGAATTATTGAGACGTTTTATGAGATAAACATTGAAAATACGAAAAAACTTGGTGAGGTAAACATTTAGAGATAAAAAAAAACCAAATTATATTATAAAGTTTAACTATTTAATTAAATTTTATATTTTTAAACATTGAAATAAAAACTACGAAATTTCACGTGCACCGCACGTGTTTCTTACTAGTTGTTTTAAAAAGCTTGATTCCATCACGAAATGCAAATAAGTTTGCCAACTAATTTAATTTTTGAAAACATTGATTAAGAAAAATTAAACCCGGAAAATGAGCAATGGGGTGGACAGGATCATGGTCCAAATTTCATCATAAACGTTACATTGTGTTTCACTCGGGGTGTATGGGCATTAATTATTTGTATTCCAAATAATGCAAAGTTTTGATAAAATTCTTACAAGTTACTCATAAAACTTTCGAAATTGGTTCCATTAATAATTGGCAATAGATTTGTCAATTTGTCCCACATTATTTGGAAGTTGGAACCGCAGAGGAAAAGGAAAATGTAGGCATGTGGGAACATTATGATTTATGAGTGAGTGGTGTATCAAAATCTTCAGAAACGCACCGTTTTTTGACATTATTTGTGAGCCCAACCTGAGAGGAAATCCGACAATATAATATCAACTTTTTACCCAAAGTCGGAGCAGGTAATCATTATCTTTCATTTATTTCCCCAAATTTCTGAAAGCAAAACGCAGAATTTCGTTGCCGTATCGTTGGATAATTGATGGGAGTTCAGTCAATGATGCCTGCCTCGCGATTAGACTGTCTTCTCTTTCGCTTGTTGACTCCGCAAGCCAACTTCTGAAAATATGAATCAAAATTACATAGACTGCGCCATCTATATTAATTTCCATTATTGCCCCCACCCCTAATTCGACGACATGTCATGTAAATAAATAGTTTTATATTTTAATTTCATTTACACAGAATTACCAAACTTACCTGGACAAGCATAGTTAAACGATAATTAGCGTATAACGCCAATCAAGAGAGTGTGAATTCGAATCTCCATAAATTAAACGTGTTGTACAAGTTTTTTTCTCTCTCCTTTTGAAAACTGTTTGGAAAACGTATTAGTAATGCATTTATTTCTTTTTTTAAAAAAAATCGTTTTTCTTGTTTCTTTTTTGGTGCGTGTTCACATAAATGAGATTTTTTAAAGAAATAATGGAGTTATTATCTAGAAAATTTGATTGATGATTACAAATTACAGTGTGCCAAACGATCAGAGTGTACGTAGGTTGGATTGAGATACCTTTTAGACTCAATCAAAATGTTTAGATTGTAAATTTGTTACCCATACAGTTATTATTAAATAATAAACTCAACCCAACCCGACTATTATTTTATTCGAGTCAATTATTCAAAGGATTGTACAATAAAAGAAAAACTAATAAAAAAATTAAATGATAATATCTTAAGACATTTATTTAGCTATTGTCTAACATTGAATCAAGATATTTATTTATATAGTGAAAAATACAAACAAGAACTAAAACCAGTTGTTTTTAAAAGTCTTAGAATTATTGAATGAAAAAAGATTAAAATAAATATGACTACATATAATTTTGATGGTGAGTAAACTAAATTGCTTCAAAATTAATAATAAGTTCGTGGCACCCAAACTTAATTTAAGTGAGTCCTTAACCAACTCAATCCATAGAATTTTCATTTATTTTGATTTAACTCGTCCAAAACTGTATGGGTTGGTTTTGATTGATCAAATTTTTTGGATAGTTTTTTTGAACAATCCTGATGAGTATAGCAGTTCGATTAAAACATCTTGCTCATTCCTTAAAGGTTTGCACTTCAATCTACTCTAAAAGTCATTCCATAGCAATTAAAAAAATTGTATATTTTAATCAAACAATCTAAAATATATAGGAAATTGTTTCATATTTTTAAGATTTGGATGATTTATTTTTATGATAATAAGAGGTAGTCTCTGTTGGGTGATTAATTATTATTTTGAAAGCAATAATATTATGGGAGTCGAATTCGAATTCATAATTTTTTTGGTAGGAAAGTGATCAATTTATGGAACTAAATGGATAGAAATGCAAAGTTAATTTTTTTTTTTTAAGGAAAATGCAAGTTAATTGTAAATGAACAAAAATCATGGTTTTCATTGGTGTCACAAAGAATCTTTTTCTCAGCCTTAAAATATAATTTGGAAATTTGAATCTTCCTTCACATTTACAAACCAAACATATATCCCACTTCTTGCCTAACAAACTTGAAATAACCGAAATTAATTGTTGTGTGAATGGTAAGAAGTGTTTACATTACACCTAGGAAAAAAAGTGTAAAAGGGCATTGAAAATCGAATGATTTTCCCGACATGTCACAAACATACAAGAAAGCATCATTGGGAATTCGTACATTACGGTAGATAAAACGGTACGAGAATTTCCTTTTTCAAAAGAAATTAAAGAAAAATGTGTCAATTTCTTAAAAAAAAAAAAAAATAGAGAGAGAAAAAATGCTAAAAAAAGAGACATGATTATGGTGGGAACAAGTATCACATGCATGCCTTTGCCTGCATTGCATGAAAAGAAGAGGAAGAAAGCCTTTCCTCCAAGTCTGAACGCATATTTTTGAATTTTGAAGCAAAAGAAAAGTAAAAAAAAAAAGGACATAAAATAAAATAAAATAATTCTGTCCTTTTAAGGCTGGCCGAGTTCCTAACAAATGAAACAACCTTGCTTTGCAGTTTGCATTTGCATTTTTGGTTCCTTAAAAAGCCCTTGTTGATTTCTTTCACTCATCCACCAAACTTTATTTGATGGGTGCTTTCTTGTAATTTTGCCTTCAATTACCCCTCAAATCTAAATCTAAATCCAAATCCAATCATTCAATAGAATTTAAGTAAAAGATTGTGTGTTGATTAACCTTAATTGGATGTGTTCATGTGGGTGTTATCATTTTGGCTTCGAGTGTGAGATTTCCACAGAATTTGTGGCATCCCACTCCGTTTTTCTTTTTCTTTTTCTTTTCTCTTCTCTTTGCTTCATCTCTCTTACCCAATATACCATGATTATTTATTTGTTCCTTTTTAATCTCTTCTTTTGAGATCTTCAGCTGTTGCTGGGCTGGGCTAATTACAAGCCTGTATAACCAAATAGGGCTTCTTCTTTACCAAAGCCCATTACCTTTTGGGCTCACCTTTAAATGGGCCTCTATTATTTATAATGCTATTTGGTCTTTTTTTTCTCTTCGGAGGGCTATTTTTTAAACTTAATTTCAAAAATGTCTAAAGTTTTCTAATTTTATTTCTATTTTTTTATAATACTGATTTTACCTTTATTTATTACATTTACTTTTATTATAGTTTTTTTCAGAATAAGTTGACAAATAAAAACATGCACAAGATTTTTAAATAATTTTAAGAATTCTATATCAAAAGTGGTAATTTTCCTATCTATAATCTTCTTTAAAAACTGCTCTATTTTATAAATTTATTCATTAATGTTCTCCTTTTAGTTTTAGGTATGTGAAACGGAAATATGGTACAAGATCCAAAAAAAAAAGTACTTTAGCAATTGAAAGAGGCCATATTAAAATCAACATTAATCATAAAATAATCAAACTCATCAAAACATTAATAACTTATTCTAAAAATGGTAGGTTAAAAAGTTACACTAAATGGTATGCTCTTTAAAAAGAATTACATCGCCATCTTTAAAAATTAAGGTGCGATTCGTTAAGATAAAATAATAAATTATTCTAATTAGATATTAACGATGTGAACTCACTAGTTTAGAATCTAGAATTATAGTGGGTTTTATAATACCGTACTCCCCAAAATTTGACAGATTATTGAAGAAACCATAGAGAGAGAGCCACGTGGCGGAAAATCTGAATCTGGATACTGGTTGGAGACGATATTTAGGGATATGACTGGCACGGACTTTAAACGAGAGCCACAGCTTGAGATTATTCCAGGTAAGCAGAGACGAGTCAAGGTGGACGTGGCGGATATCAGATTCTCTAGGCCACGTGGCAGTGAAGCAGCCAATTGCATATTCCCTCTCCTATCCATTCAGATAAGCCCCTGCGTACATTAACAAACACAGATTCATTCTTCAATCCAAATCCACACCAATTTTACCATTTGGCAGAGGCAAGTGATCAGAGATCTCACCCAAAATGGCTTCGGCTTGTGCTTCCTCCGCCATTGCCGCCGTCGCAATCTCTTCATCCAGGCAAGTTTTATTTATCTTAATTTCCCATATTACTAATTAACGGTTCAACCTTAATTACGAGCATAATTTTGTTGCAGTTCCCAGAAGAATGGGTGCCCCAAGGCTTGTAATTTCGTAACGGGGAAGAAGCTGAGGCTGAGAAAGTACACGGCAGCTGCCGTTGCTCCTCGGTCGGCTACGGTGTGCGCCGCTGCCGACCCCAACAGACCTCTCTGGTTCCCCGGCAGCACCCCTCCTCCATGGCTCGATGGCAGCCTCCCCGGTGACTTTGGCTTCGATCCTCTTGGTCTTTGTAAGTATTCTTTAGATATCTAATATATATATATATATGAATTAAATTTATCAAGTTATCTATTTAAGTTTATAGGTTGAGGGTGGTTTATACATTTACTGGAATTTAGTTATAATGGATTACAATTGAATATAAATATGAGATAAAAGGATAAAATTAAATTACAATTTGAACCCATTTCGTATTCGATATTTTGCTACATCACTGACTTAGCATCGAATAATGGGTCAAGAAATACTTAAATCTAAGTTTAGAAATTAGCACAAAATATACAAAAGGGTAAGTTTAGGATTTTGTTTAGAAAAGTGATAAGTTCTCACGGAGGTAAAAATGAAAATGTACTGCCAGCTTCTGATCCGGAGAGCCTGAGATGGAACCAGCAGGCGGAGCTGGTGCACTGCCGGTGGGCAATGTTGGGGGCGGCCGGAATTTTCATCCCGGAATTCTTGACGAAGATCGGAATTTTGAACACTCCGTCGTGGTACTCGGCCGGAGAATTGGAATACTTCACCGACACCACCACGCTCTTCGTGGTGGAACTCATTTTCATCGGTTGGGCCGAGGGCAGACGGTGGGCCGACATCCTCAAACCCGGCTGCGTCAACACCGACCCGATCTTCCCCAACAACAAGCTGACCGGAACCGACGTCGGGTACCCGGGCGGACTCTGGTTCGACCCGCTCGGATGGGGCAGCGGTTCCCCCGAAAAGATCAAGGAATTGAGAACGAAAGAGATCAAGAACGGGCGGTTGGCGATGTTGGCGGTCATGGGCGCGTGGTTCCAACACATTTACACCGGCACCGGTCCCATTGACAACCTTTTTGCCCACCTCGCCGACCCCGGCCACGCCACCGTCTTCGCCGTGAGTTCAAAATTCACATCTTATAAATATTTTTAAATTAAAAACAGGTGGTCCATTATTAATTTGTTCTTTTTTGTTACAGGCTTTCACACCCAAGTGAAGATGGTGAAGGAGGAGAAATTGAGGAGCATAGGAGACGTAGCGGTGTGTTTGTGACTGAGGGAAAAAAAAAGTCTGTATTAATCAGAACTTGAAATCTTAGTGTTTATGTCTTCTGTGTATGATGCAAATTATCAATTTAATGTACAAAATGAGAACATAAATCAAGGAAGTTTAGATATGCCTTTGCATTCTACAAGGGAAACTTCAAAATGCCCATTTACTCTCGAAAATTGAAATGGTTAAAAATAATGTTTCGCCCACTAAAAATTATTAGGAACAGCGCCATAATACGACTACGTTTTATAAATATATCCAGAGATTTTGACGAGATGGACGAGGACGTACCTAAAATTACTGCAAAGCATGAAAATAATTAACCAATGATGAATAGAATATGGAATAAAAATCCTCTCGTCTTCATATTTTATAGATTCACCTATATCTATAATAAAAATTTAAAAATATTGACCACAAAGTTTCAAAAAACCCCAGCAGGGTCAACGAGTGGAGTCAACCCCCAAGAGTTTTCTACCATGGGAAACCTTCTACATACCTATTTATTATATTACACATTCTATACACACATATGTTTCAACTTTCCTTAATTAATATTTTGAGATAAGCTGTACAGCTGTTCTTAACGTTAATAAAAGAAGAACCTAATAATGGTTTATAATAGACATGAGTTACTTCTCTCCTTGCCAATTGATTTTGAGATGAAACCCACAAATATTAATAATTGTAAGTTTTAACTTTTATTTAATATTTTGTCAAATTAGATAAATCTAACTGGTCATAAAGCAACTTTCTAGGAGACGAGATGAGATGTGAGAAAGAATTCTTACTTTATTTATTACTGGTGTACTAAAAACAAAACACGTATACAATTATTACATTTCCTCCAATTAAGACAAAATTTTGTGTACGATGATATTTTTATGCTAACTCTTTTTTAGTATAATATGATGGAGAAGGGATCGACCTCACGACCTTTTGGTCGCAAATATGTGCCTTAATAGTTGTATGCAACATTAAGTTCATGAAAAAGGTCTATTATATCCCTTAATTTAACAAATAAATTTAGTGTTGGAATTCTCTGCTTCCTAATTATATCTCTTAAAATAAGGGAAAGGAAAAGAAAAATAATTGAACTATGGATAAAGATGATACGGGCTCGGTTTTTAATAATTTATTCTATATTTCTCAGTTCGATTTTCGATTATACATCAAATCGACCTAACCGAGTCGCTTACACCCCTATTACAGTGATTGAGCCGTTCCACAAGCTCTGTAAAAACAATTGAGCAATGACAGTTAAGTTTCTTCAAAATTGTTAGACTAGCATTAAATAACAATGTGGAAAAGAAAATCTAAATAATTCAAAAATGAAAAATGAAATGAAATAGTCAATGATACCACGAACCGATGGCATATAAAAATACTAAAAGACATAATGGGCAATTTCCATATATTAAAAATCAAGACCTTGACTCCAAAATTTTCCTTTTTTTAATCTGCAAGTTGTTCAACAGTCTCTTCCTTTTCCTTCCTCGCCAATGCCTTAGCGAATGAGGAAAGCAACATATTTTTCTATTAATTTTTATTTACAAGAAAAATCTCAGCATAATCCTGCTCCATCAAACCCAGAACCAGAAAAAACAAAACAAACACTAGAGCGATACATTGGATTGGATTCAATGATTAAAATTTTAATTCGATTTATTACATTAAAGATTATGATCTTGCTTATCTGTCTTGTCTGAATGCCAGCTGCAATTAAACCATAATAATCGAATTAATGAAATTGGATTCAAATTCAATGCACTGTTCTTCCAATCATCTGCAAACTTTTTTCTGTAATCAACATCAATATAAACCATGGGAAGATTTTTAAATTGATGAACGAAAATCTCAGCACCATTCTCAAACAGATTATGCAGATTTAGAGGTTGCGAAACAAGAGGGAAATTGAGAATAGAGAAGAATAAGAAGAAGATTATACAGAAAGAATAATTGCTATAATTAAAGAAAAGTATCCATTTCTATATGAATCGTTGTAACTCAACAACTCCAATTTCCAGAGCTACTAATTTTGTGAAGAGAGGAAAATTACAGTCCTTTTTTTTTCTAAATTAAGAATTAATGGAGGGAATAGATGATATTACAGTAGTGAGTGAGCAGAGAAGGAATCAGGAGGAAGAGGGGTGGTTGGTACGGCGAACGGAGAGTTGGGCCGGGATGGGGCGACCCGTACCCGTTCCGCCGCAGCTGCTACAGAACATGCGACCGGAGCCGGAGCAGGTCCGGCAGCCGACGTCGCCGTCGGACCAGCGGGAACAGAGGCAGGCGACACGGCCGGTGCCGTTGCAGGAGGGGCAGCGGGGGAAGGGCCCGGCCATGGGCTTCTGGTCCATCACCGATTTGACCAAAACGGCGCCGGCGAGGACGCTGAGGCCGGTGGCGAGCTGAGTCAGCACCATCGGAACCATCTCTGAGGGATTAGGGATGAGAGAAAAATGAGAGATGGGGAACTGGAAGCGGAAGGGAGATCTTTTTTGGGGGCGATATTAATTTCTAGAAAAAAAATTGAAAAATAAAAAAAGGGGGAATAAAAGTGGTGAGAAGGAGGAACACGTAGACGAAGGTGCAGTTAGTGGTTTTGAGAGAACAAGTAATTGGAGAAAAACTTTGGAGTTTAGTGAAGCTGCCTTTGGAGTTTTGATGGAGAAATTATTAAATCAGAATTCAGGACGCCACGTTAATGTTAATTAAAAAATTTTCATGCTCCCTAATAAAAGATTATGAACTACTTTATTATATAAAAGTGTTCGACCACTTTCAATAATTATCGTTTTAAGTGGGCGTAATCTGTACTTACATCTTTATGCTATTTCTTTTATGACCTAGATTTTGTTCCTAATCTCTCTTCATATTTTATTTCTATTTTTTGTTTCTAACTTTTCATACCAGCACGAATCACTCTGTAACTTCTCATGTTGCACCATTTTGAAAGAATTTTTTCAAAGAAAAAAAAAGGAAAATTGGTACTAGGATGTCAACTATTATAGGTGGTTTATTGGTCCAAAGCGACTAAGATTAATTAAAGAGAAATTGGTTAAAACTCTATGATAGCCATCTACCTTAAAATATGAATTAGTAATATCTATTTGTATATTTTCTATCATCACATGCTAATGTTATATTTTTAAAAATTAATTTTTATCTGTGGCTCTTAAATTATAAAATGGCAACTACTGAAAGAAAGTAAAATGTTAAAAATTGATGGCTGAGTTAGTCCAAGGTGCTAGGTAAGAAGGGAACTTCTTACCCGTATGCTTCACACATTCGGTCTTTCTTCTCCATGGCTCTAAAGCCAAGTACTTGCTTCAGTTACAGCCCTGAATTGAATGGGATGGGAAAGAAAGGTTCGGAAATCGAGTTTTTTGTCCGAGTCCAGTGGTAATGAGGAAAGGAAGGACTGCTAGGGGGAAATTCACCGGTCCTACCTACTAATGCTAATAAGGTTGAAAGAGAGCATGCGTTGCAATTATTTTAACTTGTGACTATATTATCAAAAGTTGAGATGGCTGAGTTGGTCTAAGGCGCCAGATTAAGGTTCTGGTTCAAAAGGGCGTGGGCTCAAATCCCACTCTCAACAATTTTATCACAATCGGTTCTCCCATTTTTCCTTCATCGATTTCTGAATTATTATTTCCTATTTATCATCTTTCCTACATCCTGATAAAATATTCACATAATTGAATAATCTCAAATATTTTTCTAAAAATACTTTTTCATTATCAAAAATTAGCCTGAGGTCTTTTCATAAGGAAAAAAATATACAAAAGTTTTAGTTTAAAAAATAAAAATTCTTATAAAAAAGGGATCCAAAAAGTCCAACATCCTTTGTTACGCATTAGTAAAATTATATCGATATCCTACATGTAAGATGTCTCTGTTTAAAAATATATAGGCCGAATTTACCGTCCCACATCATATTTCCAATCATTTTTTAAAAATAATATAAAGGCTGAGCACTTCAGCTTAGAAGAATCCACGAGCTTAAATTATTAATTGAAGCTTGTAAAATATGCCTTACTGAGATTATGTTAGTAAAAATGGTATTTTTCAGTAGGAAAAAAAAAAGACATTGTGGTTTGCCCAAACCCCAAAGCTTCCACATATATATTTTTTCCTCTCAGTTGCCTTCAACAGTTCTACTTCTGTGTAAAATAATGTGGCAGCAAATCAACGAGGCTACAAGCCTTAAACTAACTCGGAAGTTACAAATTTCATCCTTCCTCATAAGAGATAGCTCAACTGGAAAATGCTAATTAGTTTAGAAAACTCTCTTCTTGGTTCGAATTGGCTCATCTCATCTCCAATCGTCTTTATGAATAAACTAAATCACCTGTCTATGTCCTTGCAACTCCAGTCTTCATGATGTTGGCAAAATTTTCTAGCAGTGCAAAATCCATCTCGAAGCTCAAAAGATAACAGGTCCAAACAATCAGAAAACCTGTCTAATGTTGATGTTTATTCTTGAAGTTCTAATGTATTCCAGAAAATGCAAATCATCTTGATTTGAAAACTGCTTTTCAAGAAGAGAAGTTTCGTCAGTTTCTACATCGATGAAGATCCGAGGTACACCTACAAGACATCCACAGAGCATGTTTTGGGAATTTAATGATCTTTCTACAAATGAATGAATTACTCAGCATTGTTGGAATCGGATATCTAAGTGCATGTATCGCCTACAGAGATAACATTTCAACACAATGTAAGAGTAGATATGGAAGAACACGTTACCATGAAAACATTCCCTCGCTTCTCCAGCCATAAGCACGACATCTCCACTTCGAAGAAACATGGCTACCGGTGGATCCTGTCTCGACTTGCCTCCCAAGAGGAAAATAGCTTTGCATCCCAAACTGGGTGAAGAAAATCGTGAAGGCAGGCAGATATGAATATAATAAGTATCTCTCATGTCCTCTTAACATATCAGGAAAAAAATGCAATTCAAAGAGGATAAGTTAGAATAATACCTCATGCTAACAATTGGCTTGCTCCAGTCTGCTTCCATGTCATCTAGGTGACCCCCGAGACTGTCGCCTGGAATATCGATAACGTGTCAGAGTCATGACAAGATGCTGTTAACTTTCAATGCAATATTTAGCATTTTATTGATGTTAATGAACAAAGTTGTGTTTGGTTACCCGAAGCAAAATAATTCACTATTGCAGCTTCAGGCTTGAATTCTTCCCCAGCCGGCATTGCAGCTGCCGCCATTCTTTTGGCAAGTTGACACAGTGCAGAGGGCATCTTATTATGTAGCAGAGATATGTCATAGCTTCGCTACGCCATTACAAGGACATTAATTCAAAAGATAACACATCAAACATATCGACAGAGACAATGCTGAAGGTTTTGACATTTCGTTAAAAAAATCCCCACAATGAATGACCTTCTAAAGTTTCAACTTCCATATCGAAACCATTTAAAATGTTGAAAACGCAGTGTTCAAATTATTAAAATACCAGCAAAATATGAAGTTTTCTTGTTAGGCTCACCTTGGACCAATCAAATTGTAGGCCGAGGGTGCTCCAACGCAACTTTCTAAGTAACACAGAAGCTGGAACTGATTTGCAGGTCGTCCTTCTGGATGAAACAGTATTTTCCTCCACAAACTTCCATCCATGAGTATTTCCAGTGCTAACCGAAGGTTCAATGTCGGAATCAACGTTGAAAGCAGAGATTTCATTTGCTTCCACTAAAACTCTCTTTTCCTTTGCTGCAATGAACAGGTCTTGAATTGGTCCATAAATAGCGTTGTGATTGGTTCTGTTAGGAGGCTGCGGGAAACTCGTTAGACTCTCCCTAATCCATTGGCATTGCTCTTCTAAGCTTAACGCTCCAGGAATGAAATAAAATCCTACATTACAGACACATAAAGAACAACTGAATTTGGGATATTTTTTTTTTGGGTTCTTTGAAACGGCATAAAACTGGAATTGACAATACCAGGACGATTCTCCAAGCAGAAAACTGGCCCATCGAGATCGCACTGAGTCGCGTTCATGCCCAGCGGAAGTGCGCCATCGTGATTGTAACATTCTAGAATGCGCTTGAAATCGATAACCTCCGACAAATCCACTTGTTTCGGTAGTTTTTTCCTGAGAGAAACCATAAACCGGATTTGAAACATCGCCTCTTACAACGAGTCCGGTGCCAATTGATGAAACAAAACCTGAAGCGAAATTGTGAAGAAATATACTTTTTGGAAGATTTAAAGGTGTCGTCGTAGTAGAACTTGTATTTCTTTTCTGCTATTCTGAAAGCGGTGCGCTCCAAATCGTCGGTGCCTTTGTCGGATCCGTACATTTTATCCACCGGTATCCGCTACCGCCGGTGAGTTACTCGATGGGCGTTAGGTTGAGCTTCTGAATTCTGGCGATGGACGGGGGAGGAGTAATCACGCTTAGGGTTTTGACTAGTCAGACACATGAAGTTTCATAACTTTTTTTTTTTTTTCTGGTGAATGCAAATATATCCAAGTTTAAGAATTTATCAAATAAGTCTTTAATTGATATCTACTTCTTCTATAATTCTTCTATAACGTTGGTCGTTCAAATCTCCATACTCACAGTTGGTTGTAATCGAAAAGAAAATTACATGTCTTAATTTTAATTTATAACGAGTATGCACATCAATATTATTAACTAATTAGTCCCACATGTTGAGTTGAGAGCTAATATGTTTATTAACCTTCATAATTGTTGAAATAGAAAAACATCGATTAATTTTGACACAATTTGTGTAGGATGAAAATACATACATTGTAATGTCTTTAGGATTTCGACCATAATTTGAAATCTGAATTTGGTCTTAATTGTCCGAGCATTTTCTTGCATTTCTTGCAACCTGACTGCGCTAACCAACATGAGTGAAATTGTTATAAGCCAAGCACGCTTAACTTTACAGTTTTTATGATTAAACATCGAAAAGAAATGTACATCTTGTAGTAAGTATCAACTCTTTAAGCTTTTCTCAACCATGTTTTAATGATCTCAGAATCCTTCTAACCATACCAACAAGTCGATCAGCCTTTCGATTCAAAATCAAACCTCAAAACTATAGATAAAGGTTAGACATTCGAAGAATTGTGAAACTTGAAGTGTATATTTGAGAAGCAGTATTTGTGTGAGACGATAGATAGAGTTTGGTCCTTTTTCTAACTGGCTGAAAGGGAAAAAAACTTGAGATATTGGGAAGCTGTCTCTAACTGACTCATAGTGTGATAGCGGTTCATCTATGTATTCCTCTTCTCCACTTGGGTGTCACATAAATTAAAAATATTTTAATTATTTTATTATATTACGTTACACAATTGACTATTTAGATAACCAATATTATTTTTTGACTTTATGATTTAGCTCAATTAAATTGAAGTTTTAAATTAATTTATTTGTTTAATTCAACGACACTACCGAAAAAAGAAATTTATTAACCAGTTAGTTAGTTAAAGTTGACATTTTAAGATTAAATTCAATTTAAGTATAGGTGTGACCTCTTCTATCAAAAAAATAATCTATTAAAAAAAATCTAAAAAATTAATTATACACGATAATTTTTGTAGAAATAACTGAAAGATAAATTAAATTTACTCATGTTTATTAGAGCAAAACTTAACAATTAAGACATTTTGATCACTTATCTGAGAAATTATCTCTCACTCTCATATATGCTGTATTGAAAGAAAATAAAAACAAAGAGGAAAAAAAAAACAAAATTTACCGCCATATTTTTTCCCACTGGACAACCACAAGTATAATTCCAGGTGTGACCAGATTCCTGCTCCGTTTCATCCATTAGGGCCGAGAGAAAAAAATATCCGTTCCGATTTCGCATACTGCAACCAATTCCGAGAAGTCAATTAAAGTTAGAGAACCAGAAATGGCAGCAAGCAGGACTGTGTTGCGTTCTGCATCAATATTCTTAATGGAGCCATATAGACCCGTTCATTTCAGCCGTGCTTCCTCCTCCATCGCACTCGGAACTAGCCGATCCTTCACTCACAGATTGAATTGCAATGTAACAACTGCTAGGGCTCGAGGATTTCACTTCCGCAAACGAACTGTTCTGAATTGCTCCCACGACGAGACCCAATCAACGTCGTCGTCTAATCAGGATGGCCAGGGCCCTCCGCAGGAAGCTGTTTTGAAGGCAATCTCAGGTTTCTACCTGACCCTTATGTTATCAAGGCTTCGGAATTGTAAGCCATTAATCAATTAATTTCATTCATTACCTCTTCATACGGACAAGCTTGTATAATTCTTTCTGTGAGTTGTGCTTGTCTGGCGTTTCTATTTTACGATGGCTTGTTAATCTCTTCGACATAATTGATTGTGAGTTTCATTTGGTTGCTCCACACAGAGGTATCAAAGACAGAAGGGAGGGTTGGGCATACAACAAATATGGTAATTGGGGGAACAGTGACAGATGATTCTACCAATGAGTGGATTGCTTTGGATCAAAAGGTACGGAATAGCTGCTCCATTAGCTCCAATTTATGTATGGAATGGCTGGTTCATATATTTTCATGGTTGGGTTTGTATTTAAGTTAGTTATTAGTATCAATTGGTTTCCTCTCTCTAGCTTTGATGCTCTTAGAAATAAGTTCAAGAGTCAAGGAGGATTTACCAGCAATAATCACATCATCGACACTAGCCACTAGCTAAATAGTATCACCAGCACCTTTAATTTTGCATAATTATTGGACAGGTTAACTCGTACCCGGGTGTTAGAGGCTTTACAGCAATTGGAACTGGGGGAGATGATTTTGTGCAATCTATGGTTGTGGCTGTGGAGTCTGTCCTCCAACAGCCAATTCCTGAGGTGACTCTTTTCTGTTCTAAGGACAACTAAAATCACAGTCTATAAGTCACTTTATTCCACAGATGTCTCGTCAGTGCTGATTAGAACTTTAAATATGATGCCGTATATGTGTGGGGCTCTAAGAAATTGAAATTCATTCCTGCAGTTAGCATGAAATTAGGCCAGATAATATTATTTCCTTTGTGGTTTTATTAAGCGGGAAACATAGTCGTTCTGACCAAGTTCTGTTATAAAAAATTATATAGAATGAGTTGACAATGTAAATTGGAAGATGTAACGTAAATCTAACAACAACTTTAATGTGTGTTATTGTTGTCGTTTTCGTTATTTTTTTAATAGTTTTATTTTTTCAATTTAAAACTATATATTAGTGGGTATAACTGCATATTTGGTCTGTATGCATTTTCAGAATGTAGTATTTTATAATTGATTGTGCACACTTGTGTCTAGGTATTAAAATAGATCGAGATTATCTTACAAAAATTTCTGTCAAAGTTATACTCTAGCAATTGTACACACATAAAAATGCTAGAAGTATCATTTGGAACCCTTTTTAAGTTTCATGGATTTGCAAAATCTGTCACTATTGTGAAATTTTCTTTTATGTGGACCGTGATGATCACTGCATTAAACTCATAAAAGATAAGGTGGATGCTCATTATTTGCAATGCTTAAAAAAATTGCCAAAATTTTTAATTCTCTGAGCTTTGTGTGTTGCATGGTATGGAGGAGGCAGTTGGTATTTATAATGAATAACATGGGCATAGAAAAGCAAATGTATCTTTGAAGTCTGGACGAGAAGATATCTTTTGGAGACAGATGAAAAAGTGACTTAAAAGAGGGATGAAAATTCTGTCTTTACCATTTTTAGGTTTATGGATGGAAGAAGAAGATTCTAGTTTCATAGGTGCTCTCTTTTGAAGGTGCGAGTTTGATTAATGTCTTAGAGGTTGAAAGAGAGTTCATAAGGCTTTTGTCGTAAGCCTTTCATGTGTTGATTTCTCCGAAGAGTCATTTAGGATTTCATTTAGGTAGATGTCAAAATGGAGTTGGAAGTTCCTTTCCAGATAGGAAGAGCATTCAATCAAAATTTTGGAACGTCATTAAGGTTGATGTAATAAGGTGGTCTAGTAAATAGTAGTGTAAACACAACCCACATCTGTGGACTCTAGTAGAAATCTAACACTGTTAACAATCGTAGATTTTTACCTATTACCCTCTGTACCTCTCTTTATAAAATATTAGCTAAAGTTCAACTGTTCAACCAGATAGACTCAAATCAGTCCTTCTTGCTGTTGTCTTTCCGTTTCAATCAGTCCTTATAGGGAGAAGACAAATTGTTGTTTCCATTTCGATGGTTAATGATCTAGTAGATATCTTCTTATTCACAATCTTATGGATCAAATGAAATTACATAAAATAGATGAAATCCAAGCCCCATGCCAAGGGAGATCAGAAAATTTCTGTAAAAAGAGTATTACTATTTTGTTGAAAGGATTAACAAATTTACACCAAGAAAGCACTTGTGACTTTAATTTACGAGAGCTTTTTTTTGGCTCCTATGGCTGGAAAGGAACAATAGAATTTTCACCCAAGGAAGGAAAATCAGCTCTATGGACCATTATATTTTTATAGCTCTTTGGTAAAATTTTATGCTCCCTTGAACATACACCATCTTACTTCTCTTTTTGCCCATTGGAAGAGTTTTTTTTTTTCTTGTTCCTTGGCTTGGAGCTTGGCTTTCCTCATCATATTATCTATGGAATCATTTCTTACACACACACACAAGAAGTTTACACCAAGAAAGGGCCTCAAAAGAGAGGAAGTCTGAGAAGATTGAAGGTTTTTTCTTGTCGTTGAAATCCTATTGTTCTTCTGAAGCCAAAGATTCCAAAAGAATGCTTTAGCATATTGTAGCTAAAGTATCTCTTTTTCTTTCTTGAAGGGATGGCTTGCTCGCCAATATTATAGCTAGGAAATGGAAATTGTTGGTATCCATGGTAAGAGCCACATCCCAATTGAAGGAGGGGAGTATATAAGTCCGAACATTTCCTGCATATGAGGTAGTAGGTAATTTAAGTTGGTGTTCTTAATAGTTTTTCGTTAGGAGATCTAATTAGATCAATAATTTACAATATGATGGTGGTGCATATTTTCTCTACTAAAGATCATGGTTAAATCTTCGGTTCATTCAAGGTATCAAATTCTTTGAACATCTGTTAGGTCTTACAATCAATTTAGCCAGATTGGTTGTTGTGGGTGGGTGTGAATTGCTCTTCTATGTAGCTAAGTTCCCTGGTCACTGGGTCTAAAGTGCAAGCACATACCAATTGCATTCCAGATGCAAAGATCAAACCATTTCTGAGTGCGGGAATGACATTCTGGAGATTGGATTTTGAGTTTGAAAGGAAGAGCCTAACCAATTTAGAGGTGTGGGAATGGATTTCTTTGTGTTGGAAGGTGTTTCTTTGGATTCTGACTAGGAAAAGGGAGAATTCCAGGATATTTTCCTCTCAATCTCTGTTTCGTGATATTGTTCCAATGGAGGAGGCCGTTCATCACAATACTTAAACTACTATTGGGAAAACCGACTTATCCAAGAAAGTAAAAATATAAACTCTATTCTTTCATGGGATAAATACACATGATAAATCCATGTGTGAAACCCATAATTTTACTAGCATCATGATGGTGTGCTTCTTGTAGGAAAGATGATGAAATTTTTTGACGACCCTTTCATTCGGTGCCCTTTCTTGGAGATAATTTGGCAAAAAAAAAAAAAAACAAGAAAACAAAATTGTGGAGGCTGTTTAATGTGTGTGTGGCTGACTTCTTTTCTCTATGACTGTGTGCCTATCCTTTTAAAGATAAGGTTGAAGTAGTACTGCGTAATCCTTTTAGAGCTTTCTTTTGTAAAATTTGGCAAGAAAGAGAATCGGAGAATCTTTCAAGTGAATGATAGAAGTAATTGAAGAGTTTTAGGATACTTTGCTTCTTGTTTCTTCTTCATCAAGCTCTTTACACTCCTTTTTGTAACTATTCTTTTTGTACGACTTTCAGGATATTTTTTTTGTTGCTTTATTTACCTTTATGAGGGTTCCCCCCCCACCCAAAACACACAACAACAGAGAGAGAAACCCATTACTACCATTTGGTTGCAAACATCAGTAAAGGTTTTCACCGATTCCTTTCTATTTAAAATATATTAAATGGTTTAGACTTTTCTAAGTCTAGCAGATTGTGCTTTTGGACGATTTAACAAAACCTTGATGAATGCACCATTATGGTTTTTCATTGAAGAATTCTGCTGTTAGGATGGAAGCATTGTGTCTGTATATTCTAAACAGTTCATTAAGAAAAAGAGAGTGAGAAGAAGAAAGATAAGAAAGAAAGAGCATACATAATTCTAAAGCGAGTGGACTTTCAAGGTGTTAATGTTAAATCAGGCTATAAAAATACGTGTTCGATTCAAATCCTGGAAAAGTGAAAATCTCCTTTAAGGGAATGAGGTAGATCCCGATGAATAATGATGGTTAGTGTTAGATGATTGCTAAAAGTTAACCGTGTTGCCACTTAAGAAAGTGGACCTCCCCTGTTTCGTTTGTCCTTAATAACATTGAAGTTCTGTTGAGTCCCCACCACCTTTAGCCCGCTGGTTAATTAATAACCATTGAGGTTTAGCTTAACCAATTTGGTTGCACCATTAGTCTATTTTGTTATTTTTAATTATTCTGTTTTCAGTAGTTTCTGTATATTGCTTATGTATAGGTATCAGAAATTGGTTCTTTCACGAATGAAGTAATATACAGAGCAAATTTCTATTTCTGATGTATTATTAGTTGTGGTTATGGACACAAATTTTGAATCATAGATAAATGGAGGGCTCTTGCTCTGTACACATTAGGATGATAGTTTACAAATTTGTTCCTGCTTTTGATTGGGTGGTAAAGAAATTTGTTTGTATACTCTGTACAGGGCAAGGTGAGGCATAAATTATCATCAAAAGGGAAGTACGTGTCAGTAAACATCGGACCAGTTCAAGTAATTTCCAGTGAGCAGGTCCCTCTCTTTCTCTCCCATTAATTTGTTCATTTATGATGCCTTGCAATTTGTTAGCATACCATGTCCTCCACCCGCCAACAAACATATTCAGTTACGACGCTTCTTGATTCGATCGTCCCCATCCCATTAATAAATAATAGGTTCATATCGACCCCTCGGTTTTCTATTTAGTTCATGAGGTCTAAAGCCTTGCTGATCCAATCCCTTCGTTAAAATTTAAGCCATGAATTAACTAACCCCTCAAAAAGGAAAATTGTAGTAATGTGTAACGTGTTGTTCTTTTTTTCACGTTTCAGGTTCAAGCCGTATACAACGCAATGAAGAGAGATGATCGTATGAAATACTTTTTATAGGGAATTCTCTTTTCGAACTTTTTATATGTAATGTAATTACTCCTATCCTTCTAGATAATCTCTATTATTCTTTCTACTTATAATTCTGTTATCACCTCATCTTTAACTTCCATATTATGCTTTTAAAAGTAATTTTAATAATTCATCCGAAGTAGGAGTAGCTCCCCACTTTCCCTTGTCTGCTAGCCTGTTGTTGATAAGCCTTTGTTTTAAATTTTGGAAAATAAAAAAGCATTTGGTTACCACAACACCGGACAAATGCACCATTAACCTGTATCTTTCCTTTTCTCCCTTTTCTTTTCAGTTTGAACGTTGGATGGGAATTTTAAACCAACTTGATGCAAATTTCAAATTCATTGAATTTTATCAATTATGTTGCGACAATTATATGTATCTTTATTCTGCTTTCACTTTATTGTGATGTTGGTTATATGGGCTTCAATTTTCTATTGCCATAAAAAGCATTTTGATAACGGCCAAATTTATTGAACTATTTTCAACACAATTCAATTCTTCTTCTTCATATAATGGAGAAAACTCGAGTTTAGATCCATTTTTCAAAGCAACTGAACTTTTCCCTAATTTGAATTAATTAGGTTTAGAAAATACAAAGATGGAAATATAACTTGAGATAACATCATTACCAGAAAACTCCTCAATAAATAATTGCAAAGGCGTTTACATTATGCTATTTTAATGAAGTTGAAAATGGGAAATTAACTTACAATATCATCATTATATGAACGTGGTAGGAAAGTGGGCACGACAGGAAGAAAAGAGAATACAGAAAGAGGGGAAAAAAAGGTCAATTAAGAGACATCGAAATCTTTAACTTTCCTTCATCCGGAAACACAGCCGGAGTAGACGGGTAAAATGTCCACGGCGATCTATCCGCCCGCTGAGATCCGACTCCGGCGGGTTTTATTGCTGTCCAAGAAAATGTCCCCTTCAACTCACTCACCGCCGGTCAGTTGACCGATGACTATCTTTAGACAAAAATAACTTGAGAAAAAACAAATCTCCGGCGTCGCAAGTCTCCGACGGACCCCTTTGATCTAACAAAATTTATCGGAAGTCCGGTCGGCCTCGCTCATATTCGCGGCGGGTGGAATCT